TATGCATATCGTCCCTGGACACATTACACAAAAGTCGGCCCGTGCCATGTGAAATGTTAATAACTCTTTCATTTCAGAATATATTTACACCAACATTTAAATATATGCTCTTTATTCAAAGCTTTATCGTACTGAAAGACCTTGGTGCTTATATGACTGTTCCGTCATGGGCTTAGTGCAGTTTCAGGAGCTTAGTGCATCAAGGCGGACTAGGTGGTGTTTAGACGTACCGTCAACGCACTGGCTTGTTAAATGTATTTTGATCTAACAACAAGAATACATTTGTTTATCATATTTTTAGTTTATTCAAAATTGATAATGTAAATGGGGAATATGTCAAAGAGACAAAAACCCCAAAAGAGCAGATAACAGCCGAAGGCCACCAGTTATATTTGATCACGTTTTAGTTTCGAAAAAGGCAAAAACCATCGTATTTAAAAAAAAATCTCTAAAGGGATGATGAAAGTTTTAACGACCTTGACTGGCTATACAGGCTGAGCCCTCGCACGGTCGGTCTCTAACAGTTGCTGAATTTAAGAGCATATATCAAGAGATAGGCTTTACCTAGCTTTAGTGATTTAAAAAAAAATCCATTTTATTTAAGGAACCAAATTGTGGCTTCTTTATATTTATATCAAAATTGAAATTCAAGGCAGTATTTTGTCGAAGAGAACAATAACCCAAAGTGTAACATGCGAGAAGATGTTTCATTTTCCCTTAATTTTTTTTTATTGAAGTGACTAATCTTTTGAGGTTACGTCACGAAAATATATTTTAAATGAAAAGGTGCAACTGGATGCATCCCTAAAACAAATATATATATATATATAAAATGACGGGTATTCGTCAATCAGGCAGCAATCCAACATAATCACAAGTAGGTTACCTGACATCTATAATAAGAGGTTTAAGCGTAACCCCCGCTGTTATCAACTTTCTGTGTTCTGAGTAAAATTCAATATACATTTAGGACTCTGAAACGTGAAATGTACGAAAGGTTTTTTTTACGTACGATGGAGAGTGGCATTCCCTAAATAAATACGGGTCCACGAACTATTATTATTATAATATAACCGTAAATGAGGATCTCATTAGAGGAACAAAGTAAAGATACATGTTGAAGCAAGAATAATTTCCACATGCAGAACATCAAAAAAGACGATCTCTCAATTAGTATGCAACTGTAACTAATACATCCATAGAACATAACACTAGTAAATGCTTTATATACTGACATTGAAACAAGTATACTGATCATAATAATTGCACATATGTAGACTGTAATCTATAGGTATCCCGCGTCATATAAACCATAGTCACCATCGAACGGCTCATCGCACTTCGGCACAGACCAGCGCACTTCACGCGTGACCATCAAACTTCATGATCCCCATTGCACCTCCGATTCATACATATATATATATATATACACTTCTTTTTACTTGATTTTGATAATTGCAAACACTTTTATACCGATTTTCTAATAATGGTTTTTATTTTAAGTAATGATTTTAATTCCCGTAGGTATTGCCCCAAGAAATAAGGTTTATTTAAGGGTTAACACATCTTCATAGCTAAAATGTTTGATACTTCCATGGTTATCACTTCTAACCGCTCATTAGAACTGTCAGAATAATCTGTCATAGAACTGTTCTAAACTGTGCTAGAACAGTTCTTCCTAAAACAGATCTTCCTAGAACAGTTCTACCCTAGAACTGTTCTAAGTAGAACTGTCAGAATCAGTTCTAGGTAGAACTGTCAGGATCAGTTCTAGGGATGAAATGTCTAAAACTGTTCTAGTTAGAACTGTCCGAATCAGTTCTAGTCGTAGAACTGTCAGCAGAACTGACCAAATCAGTTCTAACCGTAGAACTGTCAGCAGAACCGACTAAATCAGTTCTAACCGTAGAACTGTCAGCAGATCTGTCTAAAACTGTTCTAGCCGTAGAACTGACCAAACCTATCAGGATTGTAGAACAGTTCTAAATGATGTCGCTGCAGTTACGACATTTTCCGTAACGAGAAATGTTAAAACAGTGCTGTGATGAGAATTTTTTAATATATATTATATTCTAATGACTTATTTATATTTAAGACAAAGAGTTCTTAAAACTGTTCTATAATAATTGATAGAACTGACTAAATCAATTCTAGCCGTAGAACTGACCAAATCAGTTCTAATCTTAGAACTATTCTAGTCGTAAAACTGTTCTAGTCGTAGAACTGTCTAAAACTGTTCTAGGGTAGAACTGTCAGGATCAGTTCTAGGTAGAATTGTCTAAATCAGTTCTAGGTAGAACTGTTCTAGCTAGAACTGTCTAAAAGGTGTCAGAATGACAGTTCTAAATGTACATACTGTCCTAGAACAGTTCTCCTGACAGATTCTGACAGACTTTATGAGAGATTAGAAGTGATCTCTACTGTATATCACGAACAGATATCTATGACAAACATTTCTTAAATTGTCAGTATATAAATTTAATATAATAGATTTTTTTTAAGAAACGTAGGTTTCAGCTACAGCAGACTAAGTTGGCTTAAAAATAAGAAAATGTGGTATAATTGCTAGTGAGACAACTATTCAAGAAAGTTCAAATCAAGAGGAATGTTAGCAGTTATATCAATACGACCTTCAATAATGAAAAATACGGAAACCGTAAAGTCGGTTATTAAAGGCCCCGTCCCGACATGAAAAAAATTAAAACAATTCAATTGAGCAAACTAACGGCCTTCTTTATGACAAAGCAGTCTTGCCACAAAAAAAGCCAAAATATATAACAGAATTGAAGTTATAACAACCACTGAACTACGTGCTTTTGACTTTGGACAGACACATATATACAAAGAATGTTGTGAATGTGTAGGTCCTTTATTGGTCATATAGCTCTACACTCTTATCTATTTTATACATTCTTTGTCTTTCAAATATTTAGCATTGAGCGTTCCTAGAAATTTATAAAGTGTTGTTTTGTGATGGGATCAAAATGTAGGGATGTGAATGAGTGTTTTATATGTGCAATAATTTCGGCTTCCAAACTTTAGTGCAAATCTGCAGTTGTTTCAAGTATTCAGTGATATGCAAATTTTCAACAAAACTAAAAGGATAAGATGGGTGAATTAATAGTTGATCGTTTAACGTCCAGTGGCATCTATTATAGATTCATTATTAGGGGGAGAACAATAATTATGATATAATTATGAACATTGGCAATCATATCTTCTTTTTTATAAGGACGTACATGTGTAGAGTTTCGTCTTTTACTGTAAACGACAGTGTCCCCGGGAGTCAAAGCCGAAACTAAACTTGTGTAAATTTCTGAAACATACATTTCATTATTCCACCAATGTAAGCAAAACAAATAATACCGTTTTGAGCTATAGACCGAGGCAATCCTTTATACTAGACAAAAGTTGCTGGATCTTGATAGATGCATACGAAACTTCAATGAATTGTTTGTATTTTTCAAAATAACTATTATATCCGATAAAAATGAAAAAAAAAAAACTATCGGATTATAACTACCGTTTTTTCTATGAAACAAAATTTATCCCTATTGGAGTCAAATTTTTCATATAGATTCGTAAGGGACAAAACATATCCTCAGTAACGAAACAAAAAATACCCCCATGGTAAAAAAAAATCCGTCATTAAAAGGTTAACAAAATACTATTGTAAATTATTTTTTTTGGATATTAATCTTTTAGACATGAACAGTCTCCGGGACAAGTTTGCACTTCCGCTGAGTGCAAAAGTTGTCACCTTAATTTTTGGAGTTAAGTCTAAATGAAGTTGATTACTTGGTTGGTATTGGTTCCCTGATATTTGTCCTAAAAAATTTTGGCTCTAGCACCACTGTTGAAAAAGTTATGCCTCTTTTTTCAACAATTTCCTCAGAGGAAAAGTAGTTTTCCTCAAGGGAAATCAAATTTCCCTAAAGGAAAAAGATTTTTCCTTAAGGGAAATTGTATTTTCCTCATGGGAAAAAGATTTCCCTTAGGGAATTTGCTGCATTAATGTTTCCTTTGAGGAAATTCTATTTCCTGTGAGGAAATTTGCGGCTTCAAATTTTCCTTTGAGGAAATTTTATTTCCTCTGAGGAAATTTGAGGCTTCAAATTTTCCTCTGAGGAAATTTGAGGCTTCAAATTTTCCTCTGAGAAAATTTGCAGCTTCAAATTTTCCTTGGAGGAAATACTTTTTCCTGTGGGGAAATTTTGTCAACTGCAATTTCCTTTCAGGAAATATTTAACAAACACTTTTCATTGAGGGAAAATTCAATACCACAAATTTCCTCTAAGGAAAACATTGTTCTCCAAATTTCCTCTAAGGAAATTTCTGTACATCAACTTTCCCTGTAGGAAATGCTTTCCCCTATTTTTACTCATTGTAAATTTCTTCACTATACAAACAGTATGAACATTATGTTTACAAGACTTAATAAATGATACAAATGATATTTAAACTTTAATAAATTTTTGACTCAAAATTATCATGACATACAAAAACAATATAGTGAGTCTGACTGTTTAGGTCAAGGTATTGTACATACTTTATATGACTTTAACTTTGATTTTTAAAATATTTTTTGTAGCAAAGTATTCTGTTTTCTTTGTTATTGTTTCAATTCAATTGTATACATTAATAAGCAACCAATTTGAATGTCATACCATTTGTGGAGTTCTTAAGAATGCGTTCATATTTGCAAATTAAATAATAAAATAAACACTTTTCTTGTAAATTTTAATTTTCCTCTGTTTCAGCTGCTGTGTACAGTTATTCAATTCACTACGTAAAAGTTCATAACATAAATTATTCCATTCACTAAACAATTTCCTTCAATTCTTAGAGAAAACATTTTTGCAATTTGTTCTTCGAAGATCTTCTTCAGTATATTTGATATGAGGGAGCGATGTAAATGAGTGGATAAAGCTGGTGTTCCTTTCAACAACAAAATACTATTTTTTTCTTCATTTCTCCCTTCTTTCGACGAATATATATAATATGTTGTTGCATTTATACAATTGTGTTTTTCTGCATCTATGATAGAACTCCATTTTGTTTATAGCCATTATCATGTGATTATGATGAAATTTCCTATTTCTTTTTTGCAGGAAAGCACACATTCCATTTCACATTAATCCAATTAGCGCACCATGTAGATAGATATCAACTTTCAGTTTCCTCTTCAGTATTGACCTATTGATCATGAAAACCAAGATGTCTGATCACCTATAAATACACAAAATAAACAAATAAAATGTTATAAATGGAGAGAGAAACAGCAATAAAAAAGCTTATTTTGTCATGTTTATGAACATTTTAAGAATATTTCCTTTCTTACTTGCATGACTTGTGAGTTCTCTTAATTCCGTGCTTTTTGTCTATGGGTTTTTATATTACCCCGGTAGTTGATTTTGTGCATTTTATCAATCTTTCGAGTTGAGGCAATTGCAACGGTTATTTTTACAGTTTGTTCTTTATATGTTGAGCTGTTAAACCACTGTCCAAGGTTAAGGTAGGGTTGAGTGCTCACAAACCTGATTTTTTTATTACATGTATTAGTTTTTATTGATTTTTAACTAGCTGTCAGTAGCTGTGAGTACTAACAGATCTTTGTGTCTTTTCGATTAAGAGAAAGGTATACATTTCCTGCTTAGTTCGGACTGTTTATTTTTTTGCAGGAAATCTACCGGTATGTCATTTGTTGTCTGGTGAAGAGTTGTCTTATTGGCAATCATGCCACATCTTCTTATTTTTATATAACCTTTATGGACTTTCTCATTATTGAAGGCCGTCACTGGCCTATAGTTGCTTTCTTAGAGCAATGATCAATAGTTTTCATATTTAATATGCCACATCTTTTTATTTTTATAATAATCATGATAATCATCTTTCAAGGGCAATAACTTTTATAAAAGTGGCCTTATGAGTCTTATCGAGCATCACTGATGAGTGTTTTGTAGACGAAACGCGCGTCTGGCGTAAATACAAAATTTAATCCTGGTATCTATGATGAGTTTACTTACCATTTAGTTTTTGTTGACTTCTGCAAATTTTAAATTGCCTATCATTTCTGCTGTTTATAATTTCTCTGCATCTTCTATAGTTCTTGTCCTACACATAAAAAGAGTAAAAATTATTATTTAATGACATCTTGCATCAATAATTATTTTGCTGTTTAATGTATATATCAATACGTGTTTAATAAAAAGCTGTACCATGAGTGCTTGATAAGCTTGTTGCCCTTTTAGCTTGGGTTTATGCTTTAAATGAATTTTAAGATCAACTACATTATAGAAAAACTCTGAGCACTGCGCAACTAAGACCACCCCCCCCCCCCCCTCCCCCACCTAGAAAAAACAAAACTACAGGCTCTAAAGAGCCTGTGTCGCTCACCTGACTCTATTTGGGTTTTTGAAATCATATAAAAAAGATAAAAATCATAACAGATACTTTATTAATGATTGAGGCCATATTTGGTTTAATATTGTCCTACTCTGCTGGCGGCCGTCTTGGATGATGCATCAGCTACAGAGTAACAACACTTGGTCAACACCTCATAAGGAACATTCATGCTATGTTTGGTTTCATTCCATTCAGTGGTTCTCTAAAAGAAGACATTTGTATGTATTTCCTATAGGGTCCTATCTTAAACTAAGTCCCCCGCTGCCGGCCATCTTGGATGATAGATCGGCAACAAAGTAACAACTCTTGGTCAGCACCTCATAAGGAATTCAGTGGTTCTCTAGAAGTTCAAAATGTAAAAAGTTTACAACGGCAATGGACGACGACGGACGCCAAGTGATGAGAAAAGCTCACTTGGCCTTTCGAGCCAGATGAGCTAAAAAAGGACATGCACACAGAGTGGTATTCATTGAAACAAAACATGAAAATAATTTGGCTCCATTTTAAGGGATATTGCAAGTGTATATACATTTTGTAAGTTTAAGGCCGTGATTTTTGAACAAATACAATTCTAAAACCTTCCAAAGTGTGAAAATGGACAATTTTAAACAATTTTCCAACAACTAAAATTCCATAACTCTGCATCTTATATAAAAATAAATAGGGGATGATACTCCGGCTTGCATATCATATAAAGTTATAAAGGAAGATAACTGAAGAACAGTAAAATTTATACTACTAAAATTATAACTTGATCTGATTTTGAGGTAAAAAGTATTGCGTTAAAGTTTAATAAAATTTGGTTGAGGCAAACTTAATTTAGAGGACGGAAACATAAAATTCATCATTTTTTCCATCTGTAAATGACATAACTCTAGAACAGACTGAGTCAGTAAAAGTGACACCACCAAAATTCAAACTGTTTTTTGTGGTAATAAGCATTGTGTGCAAGTTTCATAACATTTGGTTGAGGCAAACTAAAGTTAAAGATAGAGAGCCGGAAACCAAAAATTCAGCAATTTTTCCATTTGTAAAGGGGCATAACTCTAGAATGGTAACACTGACACCACCAAAATTCACACTTGATCTGAGTATTGTGGTAATAAGCTTTTGTAAAAGTTTTATAACATTTGGTTGAGGCAAACTAAATTAGAGAACAAAAACCAATGACTTTGGGACAGACGGACAGACGGTCAAGGGTTGACCCACTATCACATGACTATGGGTCATAAAAATGTAAAGGGAGTTTATGTCAATATTTAAAATCAATTCACCAAAGTTTCATAAAAATTGGTGAAAGCATTCTTGAGACTATCCAAAGTCTCAATATACAATAAAAACTTAAATCAGATTTTTTTTTTAAATTGAAAGGGAAATTATCATGATTATGTTAATTGGCAATATTAATAAATGCATGCAACAATTTCTGAAATTTACAGTATATAGGCTTTTAACCCCACCATATTTTTGCACCTGTCCCAAGTCAGGAGCCTATATGTGGCATTTGTCAGTTTTGTACGATATTTAATTTTAGTTTCTTTTATATATTTCGGAGTTTAGTATGACGTCCATTATCACTGAACTAGTATACATTTTTGTTAAGGAGCCAGCTGAAGCACGCCTCAGGCTGTGGGATTTTCTCGCTGCATTGAAGTCACATTGGTGACCGACTCATCTGCTCTTTGGGCAGGTTGTTGTCTCTCTGACACATTCCCCATTTCTATTTTCAATTCTATTTTTAATTCAATTATAAATGTATGGCTTCTTGTTGATTTGTTTTACATTTGTCATTTCGAGGCCTTTTATTATATTTACAGCTTTCTATATGCATAGGTGCTTGAGGACAGGATCCTGTTTTGTTTTTACTATCAACGTGAATCTCGACTCCTGTCCTCAAGCACCTATGTCTATATGGTGTGAATTTTGCTCATTGTTGATGGTCGTATGGTTATCTATAGCTCAGCGAAGCAACATCACAACTGTTTCCAAGTTTGTGAAGTCAGAGGACTATATTCATCTTTCCGACTTTCAGATCATTTGTTGATTTTTCATGAATATGTGCCATTCCAATATGAAATAGCTAAATCATGTATATATTAATAAAAAACTTTAAACTAGGATACTCATTTGGGGAACTAATGATTTGTTGGTTTTTCCCTAGTCCAAATAATTATGACGTCTGGCAAGGCTATTTTTTTTTCTGGGACGCCTAAATAGCCTTGCAAGACGTCATAATTATTTGGACTAGGTTTTCCCCACCATCGACATCGTCCTGTGGACGAAACGAGTTTGGCGCATCAACAAAAAGATCATGTCTGTAGTGACAAGTTAGTGTGTGTGCTTACCAATATTTGAATTTTATGAGCCTTCTTTTTGAATATTTTTTTCATTTTTTGGTACAATACTGACGTCGAGTGCTGTTGTTGTTGTGCTGTTTATTTTTTACAAAAGCGATCAAGTAATGCAGGGGAAGGAAACTTACTTAAAAGACCAAAATGAGTCGCAACAAATGGTACATAAATATTTTACTATGCAGTCAGTATCCTGATATACATGTATATACTCTTAGACTCATTTCACAGAAAAATCGTACAAGTGAAAATACTCGTTAGTCATGAACATTTTAGATCACTTAGAATTTAGATTTTATAACTTAGATTACGAAAGATGATAATTTGTCAAATAAGCCCTTTGTAACCAGGTGCTGCATTTTTTAGCACGTGTCAAAAAACAGTTAAAAGTGCCGGGATCTGACAGAGCTTTCAAGAGCTATTTCTGTTACTGTGAGTTTATTATATATTTATCACAAAAAGCTAATGCTAATTTCTTTTCATTTAATAAGGGTCTATATGACCCCCACCCCTCCTCCAGCTTATCTGATTAATTTACGATCACTCTGAGTAAAGAAAGTAAGTCACAATTGCTTATATAAGGTATTTTAAATTCTGGTTGATAGTTGTCTCATCACCAATCATACTACATCTCCTTATTTTTTTTTGCAATAAAGCTATATTTAGATGCGGTATAGTGATGAATGTGTAAACATGCAGCATGCTTGTAAATAATTGTTAAAATACAGCACAAAAGATGCATAATATATCAAACTCGAGTCAACGCCATGTCAAAAACTAAAAAAACAACAACAAAAAAAGGCCAAATGACAAATAGTCTATAAAAACAACTATAGCATACCAAAATATATAATTTGTAAAGACTTGCATGCAACTAGGCCTATACAGTAGCTCTATGTTCTTATAGATCTCATAACATTACGATTAAAAGTCAGATTATGTGTGTGTAAGTTTATTAGAAAATTCAACGAGACACGTCCTAATCAGGTAAAATCCAAAATAACAATTCACAAATTCAGATCTACTGCCTGTTGTATATTGCTTACATGATTGTATATTGCCAAACGAATAAATATGTCTGGTACGGGATGGCGGCTTCGAAGCGGAGACAAAAAGACCCAGATAATTGAAAGTGTAGAATTTTTGTTGTGGAGAATTTTTTTTTAAAGAACTAGATTCATATCTCAGAATTTGAATATAGCATCTCGTTTTCTTTAGATAAATTGTTAGCTATTACTGACTATAATAATTACCCCCTTATAAGTATTCGCAAAACATGAAGTTAATGATCAATGAATATGAAAACATTTTATAAAGTATAAATATTGGTAAACGGACAGCAAGTCATAGGACTATTATAGTTCGAATAAATTAGTTTACAATAACTGTTGAAAGGTTATGAGAGAAAAATCTGGATGAATTTATTTTTATTAGAATGATTTATTTTACAGTAAAGGCTTCATATTTTTAATCAGTTATTTGTAAAAGAAAGGTGACATGTTTAACACCATGGAGCCAGTAAATTAACAAACTACTATGATGGATTTTTTTTCTTTACAATCATTGATCATTATTAATATTTGAGAATAACTTTTGTTTACAATTCGTTTTCATAAATAATGGATCAAGAAAAAAACTTTTTGAAAATTAGTCTGTTAGTTTCCAAAGAAAAAAACATCTTAAAAACTGAACTGTGAGTTTTCAATCGTTACGTTTTGTTATAATACTTTTTTAGTGTTAATCTCAGCAAAGACAAATTTGGTGATAAAAATCGATTTGTTGGTCTTTAAAAAAAAACATACGTCATAATGTAATCTTCATCTGGAGATATTCATTCCCTACTGTAAAATATTGAGTTTTTGGTTGATTAATGTCAGGTGTGTCTGACGTACCGAATATATATGATAGGTACATGTAGGTCTTGTAATTGAGACCGCCCGTGATACGGTCGGAAAATTTCGACTGCCAACGAAAAAGGATGGACAGAAAATTGGCCTAATACCAGGCTACTTATAGTCCACTTGAAGAGTTGCTGCAAGGATTCAGCGTCCCCATTCGGACGTGTCTGAGCACAACCCAATGGACGTTCCACTATCATTACTGCTAAGGATTTATTGCCGGTCAGAAGAAGACCTGTAACGACGCTATTTCTATAGTTACTCTAGTTCGCTTACGAATTCGCTTCTTGTTCCATTGAATATAAAGGAAAGAGTTATCTAATATATATGTATATATATATATATATATATACACGTCTAAATTGAAAACAACGTTCAAACCTATGATTGCGTTGGATAAAAACCGCAATTTTTATACGTGTGCATGTAAAACAAATTTCTTGGTAGAGGGGTCTAAATACAGCATAAACAACATTTTCCAAAAGACCAAAAAGTGAAAAAGTATATTTTAACAAAACGCATTTGACTAACAGGTCGAACAACTGATGTTCTTAAACCCTGCTGACTGCCATTGGCTATTACCAAATAAATTGATCACCAGATGTAAAAAATGGATCTTACATATTAATTAAATACCAAACAGAAAACAATAAACTTACGGAAAAGATGGTATACCGCAAACATGAGGTGCAAAAATTTGTACACCATATCCGGATTTCGACATTTAATGTCTCTTCAGTGATGTTAGGGATCGAAACGGTATTTGGAAGGCCATATAATATATATAGGAAAAAAATACGACTGAAAATGCACCAAATATTTATATACAATATGAATACTCACACTTTGTCTATTACAACAACAAGTTGTTCAAAAATTGTTGTAATAGACAAAATGTGAATATTCATATTGAATATAAATATTTGGTGCATTTTCAGCCTTATTTTTTTTTCCCTATTTTATGCACAGCATGGACAAAATTTAAAACTTTTTAATATATATATATATTTTTCTTGAACTACTATAAATAAAGTAGTTCATTTTAAAATGTATTCTTTAAAGGTTAAGAAAACAATAAGTTAAAATGGCTGGTACATACATGGCTTCATGGCTAATACCAAAAAGGTATAGCCAATTTCCCGTTTATTTTTTTTCGTTGTTTGGTTCACATGTTCAAATTTAATAAATTGATGAATTTAATAATTTATTGATATCCTAAATCTTTGTTTATATATTTAAATTTTACTTCGGTAGAAAAGAAAGTGAATCTTCTCATCGGGACTTTAATTAATCTGCATATCTCTTATCTATTTTGGGATTGAAAAAAATATCTTTAAAAAATGCGGTTTCGAGCCTATTTTTTCATTTTAATTTGGTTACACGTTCAGCAATAACTGATACAAATATGATACATTACCAATGATAAGGCCATATATTTGAAGCTGTTCAAAATTTTGTACATAATAGCTGGGACTATTATACAAAAAAAATAGTTAGTATAATAGTCCCAGATTATAGGTACGTGTATCAGATTGGACATTTTTTTTTATTGTTCTATATAAATAATCTTACTATAAGTTATCTCAGGTCTAAACAAAATGTTACTATGAGTTTTCTAATGAGTTTTGTTTGATAATTTTTTGTTTAATTCAGTTAAAAGTTTGTTTTTTTTACACGAGAAGGTCTGCTAAAAAGTTTATGATGATCTCTTTTTTTTCAGCATAACAAACGGATACTCTTTAATGTACACTAGGTGGACTTTCCTCTATTCCGATGAAGGCAGTGCACGTCTTTCATTTAAAAGATTAAATCGTTGTTTTGCAACAGACGGCGGCACATCGGGCATTGACTTACCATTTTATAATTTGTAACAATTATGATTAACCATATATTTATGAGTTATAACAAAATTATTTTTTATACATCTTTATTTAAGATGATCGAGATTTGAGAATGATATGAAAATAATAAAATATATATTACAAAAAAAAAGTTATCTCAGGTCTAGTTATCTAGTATAAAATATATTCACTGGAAATAAGCCCTTTAAAACACAAATCCCCGTTTACTCATTGCGAAGTTTATTTGCTAGTATTTTTTTAATCTTTTTTTTTAATGATTTTATTATATTATCTTTTTTGTGAAAATTTTGAGTGGTTGAACATGAAATGGACACCGATGCTACAAAGAAAATTTGTTTAATGTCATCTGTTGCAATATATACTAAGTTTTACACGTGGACAGGATGTTCCCCAGAAAATTAAGGTATTCAAAATAAGTTATACACACCCCAAGGGTACACGCCACTGTCATATGGAAAATTACTGGGTCACCAGTAAACTGGTAATCAGCCATGCAACTAATCAGTTGACTGACCATGCCACTACAATTTAAAAAGTTTGTCGTTAGATCAAAATGAAATATTTATTTTAATTTAAAATTGAAGAACTAAAAGGATTTATCATAATTATGAAAGGAAATAATTCAACAAAATCGGATTATTTCCCAAAAGATTATATATTTTTTAAATTTTTTCCGGGGAAAATAGAAAACGGTATCAGAGACATATATATATAAAGGGTCCCATCAAGGATTTTATAGAAATCCTTGGTCTCATCATGGAAGTAATATTCAATATTACTTCCATGGTCTCATGAAATGGATCTCACACAGACATGCATAATTGAAATTTATACATTGATTGATTCTATGATTTCTTGAAAAATCAGGAGCGAAATATAACAAATATTTAGTTTTGATATTAAATTAAATTTAATTTTCCTCGCTATAATTCATTTGACATAACATTGAGGGATTTAAGGGTTTGTCCGTACAACGTTAGTATTTCACATGACTTATTTTCGCGCTTCGCCTTGAAGCTCATTATTCAGACTGTTTCAGACAAGATGATGAAAATAACATGCAAGGCACTTTTTTTTCGATCATCGTGAAGTGCACTCGGGTACGTCTAAACACCGCTCAGGACCTCCTGAGTGCACTCAGGACCCTTTATAGGCATCGTATTTGCACACAGGATGGCTGTATATATTCGTTACACGCTACTTATTTAAGAGTTAAATTTTGGTAGAATTTGAAATCGAACTTAGATAGATATGTCAATTCTTATAAAATAATGAGGGCACGTGTCACTGATTACACAACTACTGAGCCGTGAATTATTCAATCAACAAAATTGATTGGATTATCTTTATTATGAATTGTGTTGTTAGTACAGTGTTACGTTTAAAATTAATAACACGATGTTTTAAGTTTTTAGGGATTGTTTAATGTAGTTAAATTTAAATTATGCATAGTAAATTTTACGTTTATGGAGAAAAAAAAACATTTCTACTATGGATACCTATGGATTTTCAGAACGCTGGCACTGTTGTACCATTATATTCTGCTCTACTTCATCATTGTTGTATTTAATTGTATTTAAATTATCATATTTGGGTATTATTCGATGTACTTTTTCAGTTTATTTTTCATGATGACGGCTAAATTAATTTTGTTGTGGTCTGCAGTTCATGCATAAAGAAAATAAAAAAATCGTGTTATTTTATAGTTGCCGTTTTTCTGTAACAAGTTCGATTTTTGTTTTTCTTTGGGATTTTTTTCCCTCTCTCCAAATCAACTTAATAAACAAAAACAATGTTTACTGAATGTCAAATTTTATTGAATTTGTATATCTTTACTCTCAATAAACCATATACATAGGTATAGAGAAGACAATTATGTACAATATTTACAATGACAATATTTAGATGAATTTATTTATGTGATTTGCTAAGTCTAATATCTGGCTGCGTACATGCTGTCCTTGGTCTTTTTCTTTGGTTTGGCTTACGAGCAAGTTTCTGGGGTTTTGGCACTTCAAAATATGTGCACGAAGACTTAGTCGTGGTTTGAACGGATTTCGTGTCAATCAACAGTCTCCGAAATAGTCTTGCTCGCTGTTCTTTTGTTTTCGAAAACCAACATTGAAATGATACATCATGTTTTCTGTACGGACCGAAATGTTCATATTTTTTTTTACAGTAAAATACCAAAATAGGATAAATGGCGAGAGTTCAATATACGATAGCACTTATTTAGGACAGTAAACTGACAAAAATAAACATGGGAAGATCTGAGAAACAAAATTAAATATTTTTTTCATTTGTTTTACAATAAAAAAATAATTTTATTTAACTTAGTTTAGAATCATACTACAATCTTACTTACAAAATGTTTAGAAATAATACCCAAATATGATAATTTTCAGAAAACGGAGACAAATTCATTTTTTTTCAGAATTTATTTACACATTGAAATTCGTTCTAGGCATGTATTACTGCATGGACAAAAACCATTTAAATGAGAAATAAAATCTTACTAAATGCTGATTTGTTAAACAATCGTATTACTCAGAAATAAAATTTAGACATTTTCTTTTCACTGTTTTACAACAAATCATTCTTCAGAATTTACTTTTACATTAAAACTGCTCAAGGAATCTTAATACTGGACAAGAACGAGCTCAATGTAAAACCAAATCTTACTACATGAAATTGTTTAGAAATAATCGCCACATTTTGCAATAATTTATATCGATATTTTTGAACGTTTTCAAATGAAATAAATTGAATTAAAATTTCCCAACTACATGTAGATTACTCATATTTCTCAAATGGCTTCAATTATTACAAACAAAACGAAAAGTTTATTTAACATTTTTTTCTAAAACAATATATCTTCATTGTTCTATATTTTTCAAAAGACATCTTGGTTTTGTTTGTTTGCCAAGCTTACTTGTATGAGGTTAGTACCATTACTAATCACTCCTAATTATTAAAGATCAAACGACCTAATCAACATGATAATTGATATTCAATATAATTATCGGTCATGCCTGACATATTTCATAAAATCGGCGCGTGCCAATGAAAACTTCAATAACTTCTTAAATATTAAATTGATTTTATCAAAACAAAAATTATAAGATGGAGAATTAAATTATCTATCGAATGCATATCTTCACTGCTCACTGAAACAACTATTTCATGTCCTGAGTGCACTTTATATGTCCTGAGTGCACTCAGGAAGTCCTGAGCGGTGTTTAGACGTACCGAGTGCACTCTCCCCCTCTTCAAGAATTGTATATTTATAAATCCTCGTCCTTTTTAAAATACCACATTCTTTGTGATTACCGTTATGCTATTATGCTAACAGTAATTAACCCAGGACTTGATTTACATGTAATATCAGGGGCGATTCTAGCCAGGATAAAGGGGGTCTTAATACATAGGCAGATCCAGGTGGGTGGGGGGGGGGGGGGGGGGGGGTGGGGGGTCCTGGGCCCCCCTTTGGTGGGAAAAATTTGGTTGATTATATAGTGAATCACTGAAGCATGACTGGAGCGGGCCCCCTTAGACATATATGTCTCTGGTTAAATGCAATGATCGTTCACAAAAAGGGGAATCAAACCCCCGGATCCCATCCCCCTTCGATCCGCCACTGATTGTGAATATAAATATAATTGTTACTTAAAAGTCATAGACTAGTACTAGCTCCGAGCACCTGTTTTGGGATATATACAGCTGATTAACCGTAAATAACTGCGAGATAATGAATAACAAGTTGATAATTGTCTATTCTCTGCTAATTAATGTACCTGCAATTCACCCTGATTCATTTGTGAGACCACCGACACTAATAATATTACCTCAAAGTTAGAGGTTCTCCGTTACTGGGAACTTCATATCGGATCCGATCAATTTATTGGTTCCATTCCCCCTAGTAATAATGATCCATTTGCAGTGACGATGACAATCAAAGGTATACTCATTACTGTTGATTTTGCATGATAACATACATGTTATGTCAACTCACTTCTCCTTCCTACGGCGTCAGAGAGAGAAAAAAAGCCTTGCAATGCGTCATAATTATTTGGACTACTTCCATATCACTTTAAAAAAAAAACAAACAATAGTTTATTTCACTGATTGAGATTGGACTGACGAGACATTTCAGAAATCTTAATTGTTAGTCCAAGTACACAGTTATCATCCGTTGATTTTCATTTTTTACAAAAAGATTTCCTAGTGTGGACCATGTATTACTTTAAAATTTATTTATTTATATTTTTTATACATAAAAAGTAAGTACAATGAACAGTGATGAAGTAGGGGGATGAAATTATTTTATTTTAGTTTGAGAATCACTCATACTTCTTGTATGATGTCACCTTAGCCTACAAATTACCAAAAAGAAACACTTTTTTATTTCCTCTAGCTTATGTGTATGCCTTTTCATATACATGTAAAAATGTGTTACTGCCTATATATTGACCTTAAATGTTATTCAGTCTTCCATGGCCTAATGGGACCTTGTTCTACTCATGTGGTATGCTATAAGCAGATAAGTAACTTTCTTTCCTTTTGAAATACAAATAATTTTTTAAATATACATGAAGAATTTTTATATTATCCGCTTCCCCCCCCCCTTAATTTTGAAATCTCTAATTTTAGGCATAGGCTCATATAAATTCGACTTTTGAAGAATTGAAATAAATCTGAGACAGCAAATGAGTATTGAGCTGCTTAACATTAAAATACATTATGTACATACATGTGACATACACAATTATATATAAATAGTTATAAAGACATTTAAAAAGCAATTTTTTGCAATATTTAAATTATGTAGGCCCAAATTTTGATAGTTAAACGTTAAACTTTAAACGGCAAAAATTAACACCCAAAGTTCAAACTTATAGTCTTTAATGTATATATGCTATTGCCATGAAACTAGGTAAACTGTCTTATAATTCTCTAATCTTAGTTCATGCCAAGTTTGATTAAAATTAGTATTTCTACTCTATTAGGTCTCTAGTGTGGATATAGTGTATAACTTGCAAATTATTTTCATACTCCTTCCAAATTTATTGCAGATGAATGACATTTTTACCAGATATTCGGAATCCTCTGGTTTTATCCATGCAGTGCCATTAAAAAATTTTGCCCGCAAACCCCTACTTTTCTTTTCATATTTTTATTACATAGTTTAAAAAGCCATATTTGAAAATCTTATAAAATCCTTGTTATTTTTCCATACCTTTTGAAAGAAAAAGGTGCCAGTGTTAAGTGTATGAAAAATCTAGAGAGAATCACTTCCCGCCAATTTTTTAATGGCTTATATCTTAAAAACAAGCACACGGACCCTTCAATTTTTCTGTTTTTTAAGTTCCTTTATTCATATTCTTTTAAAAAGCTTGTTATTTTGAAACGGAGTAGCGAACATCCTTAAGGCCAAACAAAAATATATGTCTGTTTACGGTTACCCGACCGACCGTCCTTTTGAGCGCCGACCCTAAGTCATTTTATTTCCGTCGTAAAAGCAAAAATTAACTGAACTCGTGTCAAAAATGAAGTTTGTGTTGCCAATAATATAAATCAATTGCCTGATACATCCCAATGTTCACAATCGTGAATATGACAGCTGTTATAAGGAAATTCGTGACTCATGTGATGAAATAAACACTTTGCCGCCATTTTTTCCCCAACCAATAACCAAGGGAAATAATCCAATCATTAAAATAACGGGTAAAATTGGCAAAGGATCAACTCAGACCACGACAAGACGAAACGGCATGACTCAAAATCATGTCGCAAAAAATAAAATGAAAAAATAAAATAAAATGGAAATACCGACCTACCTAGCCTTTTTTTTAAAGTTAGTAACCTTAAACAGACATATATTTTTTGGGGCCTAAGTAGTGATTTGGTATAGTTTGAAAAGGTCAAATATTAGTATGTCTGTGAAGTTGTCAAACTAAATTAAAGACCCTTTAAACATAAAATTGTCCATATTTTGAGTTATAGCTTATAGATTTTTCTATTATGTTAATATGTCCTGTCCCAAAAGTAGTACACTACACTGTTAAAATCTCTTTTGGATAGAGCCAGCGCAATTTTTTAAATTTGCCTTTTTGCTCATCGTTCCGAAGGAACAGTGCGATTTTGCCATCACTTAGCGTCCGTCGTCGTCTGTCGTTGTTTTTCGTCAACCATTGGCGTCTGTCGGGTGTAAACTATTTTATACATCTTCTCCTCTACTGAACCAATTCCTACCAAACTTAAGCTGAATGATCTTTAGGGTATTTACAATAAAGTTTGTGTTTTGTTACATGGTTGTCATGGCTAAATATGAACATAGGGATAAATGCAGTTTTTGGCTTTTATCTCAAAACCCAAAGCATTTAGTGCAAATCTGACACAGAGTTAATTATTCATTAGGTATTCAAAGTTCTATCAGCCCTGAAATTTTCTGATGAATGTAATAACCCATTGTCATATTTGTTGGGTTGCTGTCACTTAATTGGTAATTTCAAGAAATATTTGCAGTTTTTGGTTATTATCTTTAATATTATTAATGATAAAGATAAACTGTAAACAGCAAAAATGTTCAGCAAAGTAAGATCTACAGATAAGTTTCTATAACCAAAATTGTCAATGGACCTCTTAAGGAGTTATTGCACTTTAACGACAATTTTACACAATTTGTTTATCATGTTTTCTAACTTTAAAAAATCTTCTCCTCTGAAACTACTGAACCAATTCCAACCAAACTGAGGCTGAATGATCCTTAGGGTATTTAGAATAAAGCTTGTGTTTTATTTTCTGTTTCATCAATAAACATGGCTGCCATGTCTAAAAATAGAACATAGGGGTAAAATGCAGTTTTTGGTTATATCTCAAACACTAAAGCATTTAGAGCAAATCTTATGTGAGGTAAAATTGTTCATTATGTCAAGTTCTATCAGCCATTAAATTTTCAGATGAATCTAACAATAAATTGTTGGGTTGCTGCCACTAGATTGGTAATTTTAAGGAAACTGCAGTTTTTATTTTGTGGTCAAAATATTGGTATGACGTTGACGTTGGCGGCGTCATCGTCGTCCAAAGACACATTGGTTTTCACACTCAAACTTTAGTTGAAGTTAATGGATCTCGATGAAATTTTACCTTAAGGTTCAATACCACAAAAGGAAGGTTGGGATTGATTTTGGGGGTTATGGTACCAACAGTTAAGGAATTAGGGGCCAAAAATAAGCATTTTTGTAACTTCCGGACATAACTTGTGTGTTAGTGTATGGATCTCTCTGACATTGTACCACAAGATTCCATATCACAAAGGGAATGCTGGGATTGATTTTGGGGGTAATTGCCTCAAAATTTTAGGAATTAGGGGCCAAAAAAAAAGGGGTAAAAAACAAGCATTTTTCTAGTTTCATGACAATAACTTGTGTGTAAGTGTATGGATCTTTCTGAAATTGTACTACAAGGTTCCATATCACAAAGGGAAAGCTGGAATTGATTTTGGGGGTAATTGCCCAAAATGTTTAGGAATAAGGGGCCAAAAATAAGCATTTTTCTAGTTTCCAGACAATAACTTGTGTTCAAGTGTATGGATCTCTCTAAAATTGTACTGCAAGGTACCATACCACAAAGGGAAGGCTGGGATTGATTTTGGGGGTAATTGCCTCAAAATTTTAGGATTTAGGGGCAAAAAAGGGGCAAAAAACAAGCATTTTGCTAGTATTAGAACAATAACTTGTGTGTAAGTGTATGGATCTTTATGAAATTGTACTACAAGGTTCCATATCACAGGGGGAAAGCTGGGATTAAGTTTGGGGGTAATTGCCCTAAACGTTTAGGAATTTGGGGCCAAAAAGGGGCCAAAAAACAAGCATTTTTCTTGTTTCCAGACAATAACTTTGTGTTCAAGTGTATGGGTTCCCTCTGAAATTGTACTGCAAGGTACCGTACCACATAGGGAAGGCTGGGATTGAGTTTGGGGGTGATGAATCATAAGGGGGTTCAAAAAATTTGGGGGGATTTTTTTTACTTTTTATCCTTTTGTTTTCTTTAAAATTTTCCATTTTAAATTGGTTATTTCTGATTTATATATAAAAGCAAATAATAATGATACGGTTTGAATAGGTAAATTAGAAATTTTTAAGTTCTTAGACCACATTCATTTTGTGAGCCTCTTGTTTTAATTGCTTCTGTAAGTAATATATTAATTTGAAATTTTGACGACAGACACATACAGATTATACTGTTAACAATATTTCAGAGTTTAATGTTGTCAAGCACACAAATCATAGAAAAATAGTTAATCACGTCATTGTTGTCCATTGAAAAATTAGTATGAACACGATGAAAAAGTACGGGAATGTTTGTTTGTTAAACTATTGACCGTGGTTATGTCTTTGAAACTGTTGACTGGCAAATAGTCTGTGAAATGAAATAGCACAAATATTTCATTCTTTTTTATATCATGGTATATAGAAAAACACATACTGATGTATCATAATAGTTATAGTGACTGTCATTAAATTATAGTTTTTACCTTTTTTAAGTTTAGGGCAAGAAATATAGAAGATAAAGAAAAATATAGACAATTACAACTGTACAGTAGAAATGATCGGCAAAACAAGATAAACAGAAGACAACAAGGCCTAAATGGTAAGACCACTTCTATATAATAAAAGTGATTGCCCTTGAATGATGACTATTATAAAAATAAGAAGATGTGGTATGGTAAATGAGTTATCTATCCACCAGAGTTCAATGAAGTGGATGCAAGCAATTAAAGACCAATGACGGCCTTCGATAATGAGAAAACAATCATGTCTGTGAGCACTCCACCTAACCATAAAGGCACTAAAACGACTGACTAAGTCGTGGACACAAAGCACTGCAATAACAGAACTCATAATCATGATTAGTAGGAATATCAAATTTAAGTTTCTCAAAATGTTCATATTAAACATGATAAAATAAGCTTATTTCATATTGCTGTTTTTTTCTCAATTTATATTTTGTGTATTTATAGGTGCAGAGACTTCTTGGTTTTCATGATCATCAACAGATCAATACAGAAGAGGAAACTTAAGGTTAATACTTTTCTACATTGTGTGCTAATTGGATTAATGTGAAATGAAATGTGTGCTTACCTGGAAAAAGAAAATAGGAAATTTCTACAAAATGGCTGTAAACAAAATGGAGTACAATCATAGATGCACAAGAACACAATTGTGTAATTGCAACAACCTACACTGAAGGATTAGGGAGAAATGTAGAAAAAAAAAGAAATAAACACCTGCTTTATCCATTCATGTACATAGCTCTGTCATATCAACTATATAGAGGAAGATGTTTGAAGAACAAATTGCAAAAATGTATTCTCTACCAATTGAAGGAAGATGTCTGGTGGATGGAATTATTTATGCACTGAACTGTTTTGTAGGGGATTGAATAATTGTACGCAGCAGAAAAGTTAAATTAACATGAAAAGTGGTTATTTTATTTAATCCGCAAATATGAGCACAATATTAATAACATCACAAATAGTATGATATTCATAGCATTTTGCTTATTATTGTATTGTCTCAAACAGCTAGCCTATTGTTTTTGTATGTCATGTTACTCATCAGTGAACATTTTTTTAAAGTTTTAATTATCTTTTGTATTAATTATTCAGTCTCAGGAAAAATTATATTCATACTGTTTTTACTGTTATGAAATTTTCATAGAGGAAAATTGAATGAGAGAAATTTCCATAGAGGAAATTTGGAGAACAATGTTTTCCTTAGAGGAAATTTGTGGTCTTGAATTTTCCCTCAAGGAAAAGTGTTTGTCAAAAATTTCCTCACAGGAAATTGCTGTTGACAAAATTTCCTCACAGGAAAAAGTATTTCCTCAAAGGAAAATTTGAAGCTGCAAATTTCCTCACAGGAAAAAGTATTTCCTCAGAGGAAAATTTGAAGCCTCAAATTTCCTCAGAGGAAATAGAATTTCCTCAAAGGAAAATTTGAAGCCGCAAATTTCCTCACAGGAAATAGAATTTCCTCAAAGGAAATATTAATGCAGCAAATTCCCTAAGGGAAATCTTTTTCCCTTGAGGAAAATACAATTTCCCTTAAGGAAAAATCTTTTTCCTTCAGGGAAATTTGATTTCCCTTGAGGAAAACTACTTTTCCTCTGAGGAAATTGTTGAAAAAAGGGGCATTACTTTTTCAACAGTGGTGCTAGAGCCAAAATTTTTTAGGACAAATATCAGGGAACCAATACCAACCAAGTTATTAACTTCATTTTGACTTAACTCCAAAAATTAAGGTGACAACTTTTGCACTCAGCGGGAGTGCAAACTTGTCCCGGAGACTGTTCATACATTAAAAACGATGTCCCGGATATGCAATCATGAACACGATAAAAAGTGAATCCGAGAAAGTGTTACATGTCTATTCTATTCGAATAAAGACTTGTTATGATAATACCATATATTTAACTTTTTTTATCAGAAAATAAAAAAAGACTATATTTTAAACCCGTAAACACAATTTCAAGTTAAAAAGTTCCTCAATTTAAAATCATTCTTAAGGAATACGTGATATATTTGCCTGATCTTATACTTGTTTAATTACAAAATGCCTTAAAATATATATAATGTTTATTTTTATTTAATTTGCCACAAAACGTATCTAGCTTAGTTTAAATGAAAATAAAGAACAGAGAATAAAAACACTGTTGAAGAGAAAATACATATTTGTGTTAAATTCGGCTCAGTTTGTTAATTCAAGTTTGACATCTAACATCTTAATCCGCAATCCAAATTTACCCGACAACCTTGTATATTGTATTTTCTTAATGGAATACCCTCATGTGCATGTGACCATCAGAAACTGAGACAAATAGGATATTTGTAATGGTATTTATCAAAACTTAAATGATTGAAAATATCTTAGTTGAATATGAATTTGCTAAATAAGCGAAGAATTATAATCTACCATAGTTCAACATTGGAGAAATGCTTCAAGTTGAACGTTATTACTGATAAGATGTCCGAAATATATGTACATGTATATTGCGATTGGTGCTGTAGTATATCAATGGTATTAAATGCCCTTTGAGGGACAAAAATTTGTCAGCTTAAAAATCTAATTCTGACACTGTTGGTTTTAATTTTCTGATTCAAGTAATGTATAGCTTTAAGTGAAGTTTATAGTTACACTATTTTTAGATTCACTATTTTATTATAGTTTCACCACATACAAACATAAAATGAGATTCACAGAAATAAACATAAAACATTATAACATTTGCATTGTATGCACCAATCTTAAAAAGATTTATGAGAGACTTTTAAGACACAATATATACATATAAACATATTTTTACTCATTTACATTTAAAATTTACAGTGTCCATCTATACTAAATGAAAATAAAACATTTGTTTCTTTAAGAACTAGTGAAATAAAATACCGTTTCTTTTCAATAAAATATTGTTGATGTTTTTGTCAACTATAGCAGCAACATTGTCGTTATTAAATAAAAATATAAATTTTTCGCTATCTGATAATTGGTTTAAATGTTCATTAGCATGTTTAGCTTAATGTATCATGATTTGTCTTAAATCTACATATAATGGGCATTTTAAAAGGACACGAGGTTCATCTTCAATAGTAGAGCTACAAAACATGTCATCTCGTGGACTTCTTTTCTTTCATACCGTACAGTTTCTATTTTAGTGGAGCTACCCCACATCTAATACTTGCAAAAGCACTTCTGTTTTTAATTGACAGAATATTTTTAACAAATAACAGCTGTTCAACAGTATATTTTTTAGCCCATTTCGCTCAGTTGAATAGAAATTCCAATTTTAACTGTTCTGTCGTAGAAATGTCATCATGTTATTGTTTGTATGTAGAACATGTATTATTATATTAAAATGTGTCAGTCCCAGCCAAGACTCACTGAATAAACACGAAATATTTACAGACGATAAATAAATTTTACACAAAAAAAGTCATGAATCTGTATGGACGTTATGTACGATGAAGTTAATTAAGAGTTCACAAGAAAGTAAGTAAAAATGTAAATTTTATTTAAAATCGGAACATATATACACTGTAACAGATAAAATATAAGCTTTGGTGAGCTCTATAACCTACTATCATATAAAAACCACAATGAATGAACGTTACACGATTAAAGATGAACGATTGACGAATGCACGTTACACGGCTATACACGATTGATGAACGCACGATACACGGTTAAGAATGAATGATTGTTGAGTGCACGATACACGGTTAAGAATGAACGAACGATGCACGCACGTTACACAGTAAAACACACGGAATGATGAATGATGAGCGCACGATTGGTACACGCACAATACACGCACGATACACGCACGCAACACGCACGATACACGATGAACGCACGGAAAATGGTCAGTTTAAATTTTAGAAGGTATGTAACCTTTAACTTATCTTACGCGATGTTTCATCGTCTGCCATGTGCTTCATCATTCCATTGTCAGTGACAGCGAAAGTAAATTTCCTAAATAATCACAGGTACCTCATTAAAAGTCACAATATCATTATTAATGATCATATTTATGGTGTAAAAGTTCCGTCCAGCCATGGGAACACAGAAACCCCTCTGCAAGCAATAAATCTAGGGAGAAACGTAGGTCATATGCAAAGGTAGTAAAATCCGGTTCTTTGGTCAACCATGACTAATATTGATTTGATACAGAATTCCCCATATCAACAGTGATAATGACGCAGTCGCCTGTATATTTAATGCGTCAGTTTAAACCTGATCAAAACATTTTCACTCTACTGAATGTGGATATACATGTACTTTTATCAGGTGCACATTTCAATCTTTTTAAGAAATCAACACCTATGGATATATACCAAATTCACCATTACAAATTAATTTTCATGACAAAAAAAAAAGGAACCAACCAAAATGCAATACAATGCTTCGCCGAGCGCAGCCTGATGGTACGCACTGAAACCCGGACCGGACCGGACTCCGGACCCGGACTTTGGTATGAAACCCGGACCGAACTGTGGAATTTATGATCACTGTGATGTTTTTAAGATTACAGTATAAATAAAAAAGGATGAACCAAAATTTTCCCACATTCCGAACGCAAAATTAAATAAAATGAATATTACAATAAATAAATAAATAATTAAGTAAATATAGGTAATCGAAGCCTATTTATTCAAAATAACTCCAAGAGTTGAATATTTGTGCTTTATGCTTTTGTATCAATGATGATAATAAGTGGTTTTATATGACTTAATTGATGAGAGACACTTTATTTTGTAACGTTTGTTGTTTCTGTACTATGTTTATAAGGTTCCTGGACGTACCCAGCCTGATATGACCGCAGATATCCAACCATGAACAGTTTGAGCAAGTTTGGACACAATATTCAAGCTTGATACTGTCTGAACTTGGATTGTGATCAAATTTAATTTTTGACATAATATAGGTTTCTTACATAATATAATTGTGGTCAAAGATCTTAAAAATTTGAAATGGGACATTTAATTTAGTAAATTGAATTATTTACCTAGTATGGTCTGATATCCAAAATCTTACAACATTGTTAGATTCAGCATATAAAAAAAACACCAAAAATTTAATTTCAGTTGAAATCAAACAAAGTTTAATTTTGGACCCTTAAACATCTAATATGGACTTATTTGAAAACAGGTATCAGGTGAGCAATAACATTTCTATTCAGCAGCAGTCTCCAACTTTACATCTCCTTAATTTTATATGATAGTACCACAAAAATGTTGAAAATGTGAACATTTCATTTTTTCCCTAGCTTCTCTCATGCGAATGCAGTACCTTTTTGGTCACTATTTATGTGTTGCATCTAAATATGAATTGTAACACTTTATAGTGACTGAACAGGTAAAACAAATACTTCTCAAGAAACAGAAAAAGAAGACAACTTGGAACAGCACCAGGCATGCCAGACTATGTATGAATAGTTATATGTCCTTGTGAATATTAAGGAAAGCTATCAATAATATTGCAGATACAGCAATTTTTTAAAGTTTATCAGGTTTTTCGTACATTTTCTGTTCAAATTTTTACACAAGGCCAAAAAAAATAATATATGTGTTTACCATTACATCTTTGAAACAAAATAGGGTAGGTAGGTTGGGATTTTTTTTATTTTATCATATTTTTTACATTGAGTCTATGGGAGGGAAAATCTGACTTTAACAGTGCTTATTGAAAAATAAAAAAAAAGAACTTTAGGGTAGGCTAGTTTTGATCTTAAAAAATAGGGAGGGTAGGGTAATAGGACACACACATTTTTTTTTATTTGGCCTAATCGTGCAAAAAGGCTCAACTAACTTTACTGAAAGTTTCAAACAATGACAAGTGTGTCATTCACCATATTGGTGGTGTGTTTCTGCGAAAAAAAACATTTTGTCAATTAAAGGGAAAGTAGATCCTTTTGCTGTGCACTCTCGCATGTCAATAGAAAATTGACCCTATAGTTTTTTTTATCATGACCAGTGCACTGATACTGACATTATCAGGGAGAACACATCAAAGAAAAAATGCACAAATTACTGATAAAATAATTTACACATTGTGTTTGGTGTGTATCTCCTGCCATATCAGTATT